GGGAGAGGAGCCTTGATGGGGGGGCTGGCTGACCATGGTGGAGGAGCACAGGGGTCAGAACTTATCAGCTCTCTGAGGGAAATAGTGATGCGTTGTTGTGTCTTGTTTTGATGCAAAACTAAAAAGAGTGAAAAAATAAACAAAAATGTCCAAAAGTTTTTTTATTGCAGATCCCCAACCTAATAATCCAATATGCTATAGCTGACACCTGATGATGCATTCAGGCTCCAAAACATCTGAATCAAACATATATATGACTATTCAGCAATTGAAGAATGTGATTGCATGTTGGGATCATTTTTTCTCAGCTGCATGGGGGACATTGCAGGAGAATGGTGGCTCTAAAGGGCCCAGAGTTGGAGAAATATGCATTTTAAATGATTAGTTTGGTGTTTCTGTGAGGTTTTCATCAGTAAAGGTGCCTTACAGGTAGAACATGTCATAAATTTTACATATCCCTAAAAGCAAAAAAAATAAAAATATAATCTAAAGTACATTATTAATTACAGCATAAAGAGCTCAATGAGCCGCAGTTAGTCAAAAAGGGGACATTTAAACCTCCTGAAATCCTTGGTCTGTTGTAGACTGACTAATCTATATTATTGTGAAGTTGTAAATAATTTGTATGAATGTGCAGAAAGATATGGAGTTTTTCCAGCAGGAGCAGACAAAAAGAGATGTCTCTTAATATTTAATTCAATTCAGTTTATTTATATAGCGCCAATTAACAAATGTAATCTAAAGGCACTTTACAGTTCACCAGATCATACAGTCAGATTAATTTTCTATCTAAGGAAAACCAGTCGATTGCATGCAATCCCTCACACTAAGCATGCTTGTAGCGACAGTGGAGAGGAAAAATTCCCTTTTAATAGGAAGAAACCACCAGCAGAACCAGACTCAGTGTGAGCGGCCATCTGCTGAGGCCGACTGGAGTTCAAGGAGACAGAAGCAGAGACACAAAAAGGAGCTGTAAAAGGCGGCCCCATCCAGGAAACACACAGCCAGGCAGATGAGCTCCAGGCCAGCTCCCATTTCAGAGGATGAAGAGAGCACATCCAGTTAGTCACAGTCAGAGAAAAAGGACTACACTGAAAAACAGGCCGATCTCCAACATCTAGAAACAAAGGTGTTAATGGCAGCAGCACAGCTGATATTTCTCTCCAGGATGGAGTCACAGCCAAACAGGAACAGACGAGGAGAAGCTACTATGATAAATAAGTAGAGGGAGCATAACGTTATAGATTGAACCAACAGATTCTGCAGAGTGTGAGAATATAGATAGAATGAAGCAAAATAATGAAATGAGGGTCCCTATGTTCTCCAGCAGTCTAAGCCTATAGCAGCATAACTATAGAGATAGCTCTGGATAACCTGAGCCACTCTAACTATAAGATTTATTAAAAAGGAAAGTTTTAAGCCTAGTCTTAAAAGTAGACAGAGTGTCTCCCTCACAGACTAACACTGGTAGTTGGCTCTGCAGGAGAAGAGCCTGATAACTAAAAGATCTGTCTCCCATTCTACTTTTAAAAATTCTAGAAACCACTAGTAAACCTGCAGATCAAGAGCGAAGTGGGTTAGGGAGATGAGATATTAACAGAGGTATTAAACTCCAGATTATTCACACACCTCAAATATTTCCATGTAGAATCATTTACATTCAAGTCAGTTTGCTTCTGGCAGGAAATAGAAGGGGTATATCTCAAAATATAAAACTATTTTAGAGATGTATATGTTGACAGAAACTGAAGGGCCTTCTTGCTATGACCTTCAGCTTTAGCTCCTCCATAGACACAAAATGAGAAAACTTTCAATACTAGATTGGTCATCTACTGTATGTTTGAATTCTAACAACAGTCTGTATATTCCACTTCATGATTGATTGATTGATTGATTGCTACGGTAAATTAGTTGGTTATTTCAGTGACTGATTACAATTACTCTGAGTTGTTACAGCCAAAGATGGTGACATTTGACTTAAAAGCTTTTATGTTACAAGTTTTCCCAGAAAAAAAAACTTGATTTCTTTCCAGACAGACATTTGCAGCTCACCATATAACTTATATCTGAACTACAATTTTAGGGTTGATGTAGCTTCAAGCAAAAACGCTGACATCAGGCATAGATGCCTCCGCATGAGGCTTTCCATCATTGGTTACTGCCGGTTCAGGGAGGACACATGTGGGAAATCCATTTCCTCTCAGCTTGTTAAAGAGAAATGTCAGACATATACATGAACTATGGAGTTTGGAGGAAGGTCTGCTGTAATGAGAATAACAGGTTTTAGGCATCTGTTTGAATGTTTAACCCTTTAACTAAAAACTCACTAGAAAGTTTAGTTTTAAGTTTGTTTTTGTGTTGCTGAGGAATAACTTTGTGCTCGTTTAGAATAAAGGTGACAAGAGTCCTTATATGGAGGGAACCAATAGAAAATGATTTTAAGTGCAGACAATTGCAGGATAAAAGAAAATTAATTTCCTTCTTCCTAAATATAATGCATGTCCCTCTATGCATGTTTTTCTTTTTACACATATTCAAGCTGAGATGTGGATCCAATTACTGACTTGGGTCCAACTGAGCAAGAGAACTGGCAGTCTGATGATTCTACCAGATGTGAACATACCAAGGCATACCGTTTTTAGACTGAATTCGTTTCACTGACCCAGAATGTCAAAAGCAAGAAAGATGAACAAAACCATAGTTTTTCTTATTGATCTATATGTTTACTGGGCTGTTAACTCCAGAAAAAGTTTTTTTTTTCTATAATAATCAGAGCCATTTTAGACCAGAAAAGGACAATATGCCTGCTTAATCAGACAGGTTGTCGAGCACCTATTATTTCTGAACGTCTAACAGTATGAATACAAGTCAAAAAAGTAATTTACTCTAATTTCTACAATACAACAACAGATAACAATGTTCAACTGTTTGAAAATGGGCACATTGTTCTGAATTCCACATATTTATCAAGATTTTAAAACATTTTTCAAGACTAGGGCTGAAAAACAAAAAAAAAAGGGGTAGCGTTTAAAGTACATTTTCTCTGTATATGTAAATGCAGGAGAATTAGACTTAGCGCCACCCAGTGGCATTAAAAACAAACAAAAAGCACAAAGAAACTAATAGGATAGAGTTATAATTTTATTTTTAATTTCATGCATGAAAGCCACAAAACCAAACTGATGTTAAAAACTATGCACATCTATTCTGTTATCATTATAAGAACGATTTGGTGTAAAAATGGTAGGAAAAGTCACATTAAGGTTTCAACATCAAACCCGGATGATAAATTAAGTTAGATGGGAAAGAATAGTTTCAGAATATATATCAAAATGATAGAAACAGGAAATGATTTTATAACGGATTAAAGTTATACAGTGCCAAGTGAATACAAAAAAAAAGTAAAGTAGGTAAAGTAGGTTCAGATTCATTTAAAACAAAGCAAATGAACACATTTCCTGAATGTTTAGCTTTCTGTAAATGCTCAGGTGTCGGTTTGGACCTAAACATTATTTTCCCTTTTACTACATTATTTATCTTTTTAATTATTCCATAAAATCTGTTAAGTTTAAAAATAGTTCTCTTTAACTGTGCTTTGATGAAACGGGAGAAAAACAAACAAATGACACGAGATAGTTGTGGTTAATATTGCACTAATTCACATAGAAAAGATCATAGGTGAAATAAAACAATAAAAAGAGGTTAGGTAGGTGAAGAAGTGTAGCTGAGAACTGCTCAGTGGTTTTCCGTCTCAGCTACCGTCAGAGTAAAGTGGTTTATAATCAGATGCAACAATCAAACTCTTCTGAAACACTTATTACTTCCTCCTAAACAAACATCAGACTAAAGTGTATCAAATCTATTGCTCTCCAGGATGTTTAGCATGAAAAATTATCAACCAGGAGCTTCCTCCATCCTCTGTTCCTGTTTGCAGTCGGCCTGGGGAAATTTCAACATTTAAAGCACTTTTTTTTTTAACAAATACTGACTGTGAAGAGTGTGATTGGAAAGGAAAGCAGGAGTTAAAACCAGATGAGTGTTTTAGGAAAGAAACATTTATCCATTTTCACAGAGGGCTGTGCTTTACATGTTTAGGTTCTTTTTTTTTCTTCTCCCTTTTATTGGTAGACCTGCACATGGCCGTGCATGGAGGTCGTGTTCCCCCCACAGTCCACGTACTGGTACATTTCCTGAGAGACCTGCTCCGTGTGACCGAAGTACGACGTCGTTACTGTTACCCTGAAAATCAAAAAACAAAACTTGTTAAAAGCCAGTTATCTACAGGAGACATATTAAAGCTTGATTTAGAGTCCTATGTCTATAACTCTAAAACAGTGTGTGAGTGCCCTCTTGTGGTACACAGATGAAATTAAAAACACTTAACCGGACCTTTTAGCTAATCAAATGTTTTTGAAGTTTAAAACTGTTTGAGGGAACAATGACTTCCACAGAAAACAGCTGGATGATTTTATTGGTTTGTTTCTAATGACCAGGCTTCCCCTAAATTTATGATGCCAACATTTTTCTTTTTGTTTTACATTTTAAATGTATTTTTTAGACGGTTTTAAAAATCTTACTGACTTAAAGACATTTATAAAAAAAAATAAAGATGGACCAACTGATGGATTGACTGAAAGAAAAATTATGGATGTTTTTTACAACTTGGAAAAAAAATTGAAAAAATAATATTTTAAAAAATAAAAACTGGAATCACAATTTAATACTGCCAGTTAGGACATTTTCTAGGATTGATTTATAATCTACTTTCTTGTTTATCTTTAAAACTAATTTTTCATTTAATTCTCTAATTGGAAACAAATTTATTGACTAGAAAAAACTTAATCTAAACAAATACTTTAGACACCTTTAAGTACCAAATATAAAGTCTCCTTTCAGTTATAACAAATCAACGTATTGATTAAAAGAATGAATATTTAAAAAGCTGAATAGTCATGTTTCAAATGTCAAAGATCAGACTGACCAGAAAATAGAGGAACAAA